TAAACAAAAAATTACTCAATTAAAATAATGACAAAGGATCTAAATTTGATTCCCAGAACCCACGTAAAAATAATGGACACGGTGGCATGTGAATAATCTTAGTGCTGGGGAAGCAGAGATAGGTTGATCCCTGGGGCTTCACTGGCCTGCAGCCTCACCTGCTTGGTGAGTTTCAGGCTAGTGAGAGACCCTGTCTCAAAACCCTGTATCCTACTACAGAGATACTTGTTCATCTAAATTCAGTGCTTCTCTCTTCACAATAGCTAGGAAATGGAATCAGCCTAGACACCCTAAATTAACAGATAATGGAAATGTCATGCATATACTTACTGGAATTTTATTCACTGTAAAGAAAAATGAAATTATGATATTTTCAGGCAAGTAGATGGAATTGGAAAAATTGTACTGAGGTGATCCAGACTTAGAAAGACAAATGATGCAGGTTTTCTCTCATATGTGGATCTTAGCCTCAAATGTTTAGATCTGTGTTTAATCTGGAGTACCTATAGAAGTCAGGAAACTAGAAGGGGACATGGGAGGTGATGCCTTAAATGTGGGGGGGCGTTAGTAGAACATAGGTGATATGAAAGTAGAGAGGGGGAACGCTGAGAGTAGAAAGGTTTAAGCAGTGGAGAGTGGAGGAGAGGAGGGACAGGGGAGATTAACCAAAACAAAAGGGGTATGAAAAAGCCATACGAAAACATACTATTTTGTAAATCAATTAAAAATTATTAAGTTTTAAAAAGAGAAGGGTGGTATTCTGCCCGGCTAAATAATATTCCTAGAAGCCATGGGTTATTAACAAAAGTCCTGGTACCAGGCATGGGATACCTCCTTATGAGTTGTTCAGGGAGGCCCCAGAGTCCCTCAAACAATACAGGCTCTTGTCATTCCTCTTAGTTGCCCACCAGAGCTAGATAAGCTGAAGATACCACATACCTCAGTTGTAAGATACATAGAAATCAAGCTGGAACTGATCTGAAAGCTTTCTTTCTGCTGACCACCATTCACAATACTGAAGGAGCTATGTGTGCTACTAGAAGAGAAAAGGCATCAGCGTTCTTACTTAGCTGTGAACCCTACAAACTATGACAGCAACCCAACAGGCAAGATGCAACCACTACTGCAACTGTGGCACAGCTGTCATGGAGGCAACCAACAGCTCTCTCCATGGATTAAAGACCCACTCTCCATGAAGGAATTCATGTCTGGTACTATAAACACAGTCAAAATCCATGGCTGGGGAGGGCCCTTGTGTGAAACTACTGTTTAGCTAAACTGACATGACATCAAACTGCTTTCTAAACAATGTGTTCATACTCATAGACTAAAGCTACTCTCAGCCTTAGTCAGAGAAGCTTCTCTGTAGAAGGAACAGTGGTGAATTCAGAGACTTTGGCTGCTGAGAATAAGGGACAGTTGAATGCTCATCCCTAAAGAGAACATTCATACCATTCCCTCTAAGACTCAGGGAGATCAGGGAAGAAGGGGAGGAAAGAACATAAGAAGCAGAAGATAGGGAGGGAGAAAGGTTGCAGAATGCCATCTTCTGAACATGACACAGCTATTGCAATCATGAACTCAAAGCAGCTGTAGTTGCCTGAACCCCATGGGCTACACAAGACTGGACCTGTCAACAGCCAGTCATGGATGAAGGAGGGGTTCATGGAGCCCTACACGTTCTACTGCTAGGTTCTGGTAGGAGGGGGAGTCATTATCTTCAAATGTGTACCCAATGGTGAGCCTAACCAGCTCCAGTGGATAGTTCCATACCTACAGTCACTCAGACAGCCCTGGTTAAACACTATGGGTCCTAAAGCAAAGCAAAAAGAAATGAACATGAGAAAGGGACCTGCAGGGAGAAGGAGGGTTAACATGGGTGAGAGGGAGATGAAGGGTGAGGAGAGCAGTCAGAATGTATTTCATAGATAGATAGATAGACAGACGAACAAATTTAGTTAATAAAAAATGGTGACCAGGTGTAGTGGCACACATCTTTAATCCCAGCACTCAGGAGGCAGAAGCAGGCAGATCTCTGTGAGTTCAAGGCCAGCCTGGTCTACATAGGGAGTTCCAGGACAGCTGAAGCTACCAGGGAGACCCTGTTTTAAAAAGACAAAAAAAGGGTGGACAGATCCTAAATGGTATCTGAGGTTGACCTCTGGCCTCCACATGCATGATCACACACATACATACAAAAAAGGAAATAGAAATAAAATAAATAGTACTCCACATCATTAATCATCAGGGAAATAGAAATCAATGCCACAGTAAAATACTTTATGACCATAGTATAGCTAGAATCAGAAAGTTAAATAAAAATTTGGGAGCTATGTGGAAAAGCCTTAATCTTCATACACTGCTGGTAAGAATGTAAAATGTAGGTCTTTCAAATTTTCTTTGGGGGAAAGGTCTGCTTCAGAGAACAGTCTGAAGTTCTTCATATGAGATCAGGTAAGATCAAGGTGGTATGTGACTTCATACATGAGTTCACGAACTCAGGTTCATACATGAGTCTGAAGCTCTTCAGATTGTCAAAGACAGAACTGTTCTATGACCCAGAATTCTATGCCTTGGTAAATATCAAGAGAAATGAAAGCACATAGCTTTATATATGGAATATAATATTCCATATATAGATGTACCACAACATGAAAAAAAGATGAAAGAAGCTAGGCACAATATACTATACAGTATATAATTCATTTCATATGACATGCTTGTAACAGAGAAATCCACAGAGGTGGAAAGTACATTAGTGGTTGTTTAGGGATGTGGGTAGGAGTCGGGGAGAAGATAGAGGACAGAGAGATGCTATCATTGGATGTGATTTTCTCCCAACAATTCATGTATAGGAATCTTGGCTTTTGGTGTGGTGTTAAGGTCATGGGACCTTTAGGATGCAACTGGGTCACTGGGGGTACTCTCATCAGAAGGAAGTAATAAAGTCCTCATGGAATCCTGATTAGTTCCTTTAAGAGTTGCTAGAAAAGAGAGAGCCAAATCCTTCCAGCTTGCCATGTGATCCCTCCCTCATGATGCCATTTGTTATGAGTCTTCACCAGACTCAGCACCATGTTGTTTAGACATTCAGCTTCCAAAATTGTGAGAAAAATCAGCCTCTGGTATTTCAGAACAGTAACAGATTAAGGTACAGGGTAATAGTTACCAATACACTAAGCTTCTTTTTGAGGTGATGAAATGTTTTAAAACTGATTACCTTTAAGAGTTGCTAGAAAAGAGAGAGCCAAATCCTTCCAGCTTGCCATGCGATCCCTCCCTCCTGATGCATTCCCATCATGATGCCATTTGTTGAGTCTTCACCAGACTCAGCACCATGTTGTTTAGACATTCAGCTTCCAAAATTGTGAGAAAAATCAGCCTCTGGTATTTCAGAACAGTAACAGATTAAGGTACAGGGTAATAGTTACCAATACACTAAGCTTCTTTTTGAGGTGATGAAATGTTTTAAAACTGATTACAGTTAAGCTGGGTGCAGTGGCACACACCTTTAATCCCAGCACTCGGGAGGCAGAGGAACCCAGATCTCTGAGTTCAAGGCCGCCTGGTCTACATAGCGAGTTCTAGGTCAGCTGGGGCTACAGGGAAACCCTGTCTCAAAAGGATCAAAAAAAAAAAAAATTGACTACAAGGCCAGGCGTGGTGGCGCATGCCTTTAATCCCCGCACTGGGGAGGCAGAAGCAGGTGAATCACTGAGATTGACCTAGCCTGGTCTCCATAGGAAGTTCCAGATCAGTCTGGGCTACATAGTGATACTCCATCTCTAAACAAAACAAAACAAAACAACAAAACAAAACAAAAAACAAAACAAGAAACAGGAAGTGGAGAGCTGGCTCAGTGGTTACAAGCACTGGCTGCTCTTGCAGAGGACCCGGGTTTGGTTCCCAGCACCTACATGGTGCCTAACAATCATCCATAACTCCAGTTCCAGGGGATGCAGCACCCTTTTCTGGCCTCCACGCATGTGGTGTATTGCACGCGTGTGATACACATACATACATGCAGGCAAAAAGCTGGAGCTACAGGGAGACCCTGTCTCAAAAAGACCGAAAAAAAAAAAACTACAATTGTCCATTATCTATAAATATACTGAAGATTGCTGAATTATACATTGTAAAGGGGTGTAAAAACTGGTAAAGTTGGGCTGGGTATGGTGGTGCAGGCCTTTAATCCCAGCATTTGGGAGGCAGAGGCAGGTGGATCTCTGAGTTCAAGGCCAGCCTGGTCTTCACAGTGAGTTCCAGGATAGCTATAGGGAGACCCTGTATCAAAAAGACCAAAAAAATAAATTAAAAAAAAAATAAAAAGACTGGAAAAGTTGGGCCGGGCATGCTGGCACATGTGTTTAATCTCAGCATTTGGGAGGCAGAGGCGAGGTGGATCTCTGTGAGTTCAAGACCAGCCTGGTCTACATAGTGAGTTCCAGACCAGCTGGAGCTACAGGGAGACCCTGTCTCAAAAAGACCGAAAAAAAAAAAAACTACAATTGTCCGTTATCTATAAATATACTGAAGATTGCTGAATTATACATTGTAAAAGGGTGAATTGTATGGGGTATGAATTATATTGCAAAAAAAGCTTTTAAAAACATATACTAAAATTGGAACAATACAGAGAAGGTTAGCATGGCCCCTGTGCAAGGATGACACGCAAATTCATGAAGTGTTCTTTTTTTTTTTGGTCTTTTTTGAGACAGGGTCTCCCTGTAGCTCCAGCTGCCTGGAACTCACTCTGTAGACCAGGCTGACCTCCAACTCACAAAGGATCCGCTTGCCTCTGTCTCCCGAGTGCTGGGATTAAAGGCATGCGCCACCATGCCTGGCTGCGTTCCATATTTTTAAGAAAAGAATTTTTTTAATTTTATTTTTCCCTGTCTTGTAAAGCATAGTGATCCCTGTTTCCATTAAATTTGAATAAAGACTATTTTTGCTTGACAAAAAAAAAATCTCCTAAAAGGAAAAAAGCCATGGGAACTTACAAGCCAGAATCCATGTCCATGTACTGTGGAACGGTATGAATAATGTTTAACAATGTGTCCAATTGATATTTCATTTCATTGATTTTTTCATCAATTTCATTCCAGTCTTTAAGAGACATACTAGTATCCTCTGGGAGGTTTTCAAATTTGAAAGCACACATGTGAAGAGAAATAATCAAATTTGGAAGAACTTTAGAAATACCTAGAAAAGTGAAAAGAAGCATTATTAAAGTATCATTACTGTCTTAATACTGAATTATAAAATCCAGCCAGAGCATATCTTCTTTCCTCTGTTTATCTGCCCACTTGCCTGGCAGAGAACCTGGAAAGAGCCATTCCCAAATAAATAGTGAGTAAACACTATGCAGTGGATGCTTCTATGACTAATGGAATGCTTCTTTGATGAGTTTATATTCTAGCTTTCTTATTTTCTCAGTTGAGAATCAAATGCATTAAACCCAGGAGTTACGAACTGTGGCTCTCTGCAAATGGCACTGATTTAATAAGTCACTCTCTTAAGATAACAGTGATGAGTAGTAGCTTCTATATGGAAGATAAGAGTAGACATGGCTCTTAAGCCACTTCCTGAGTCACTGACCAGGTTTTCATGAAGTCTGCAGTTTCTAGCTATGCCAAGCACTGTAACCCAGAGACCCCTGGAAAACTGAGCTTGGATCCTACTGTTAACCCAGTGGACTGTTCCACTGTGAAGTCACAGAACACCTTCTCTCTATCTTAGCTCATTTTTGAAATATGAAATGAAAATGCTGCCTTCCTAGGGTTAGACATGGAGAAATAACCATGAGCCAACTTTTTACCTTGTCCTTGATATAAACATTTCCACTGTATCGACCAGTCAACTCTAATCAGTAAATGAGTACTGAAAATGACTGGTTAATTCTTCCATCCTTTGGATTTCTTTATTTTAAACCATCTACTGCCTGAACGTCTAAACAACATGTTGTTGACTCTGTATTATTGTGACCACAAAAAAATTATGATTGTGTTTTCAGTTGTAGAAATGGCACATGATACAGGAACTCACTCGGAGCTATGACAATACAGAAGTGATTTTTTAAAAAAATATTTTATTATTTTAATTATTTTGGGGGGGTCTTTTTGAGACAGGGTCTCCCTGTAGCCCCAGCTGTCCTGGAACTCACTATGTAGACCAGGCTGGCCTTGAACTCACAGAGATCCACCTGCCTCTGCCTCCCGAGTGCTGGGATTAAAGGCTTGTGCCACCACACCCAGCTTATTATTTTTTTATGTGTATGTGTGTATATAAGTGCACCCGTGTTGTGCAATGCCCACACAAGACAGAAAAGGCTGTCAGATCCCCTGGAACTGGAGTTACAGATAGTTGTTAGTTGCCATGTGGGTGCTGGGATTCGAACCCAGGTCTTCTGCAAGAACAGTCAGTGTTCTTAACTGCTGGGCCATCTCTCCAGCCCTATTTATTATTTTTTATTTTATGTGTATGTGTGTATTGCCTGCATGTAGGCAAGTTCACCCATGTTGTGCAATGCCCGCGGAGGATAGAAGAGGCTGTCGGATCCCCTGGACCTGGATTTACTGTTAGCTGCCATGTGGGTGCTGGGATTTGAACCTGGGTCTTCTGCAAGAATAGTCAGTGTTCTTAACAGCTGAGCCATCTCTCCAGCCCCTATAGAAGTGATTATTTAAGAGACCCAAAGGAGGAAGATATGATCCAATTTATTTTATTATTATTTTATTTGAAGTTCAATTCATATTGCTAAAAGAGAATTTGCATCCAACAATATTAAAGAACTCTTTGTATGGCCCCAGACAGCCAAGGAGACCCCATAATAGATTCAGTTGTGTTATAAGTACTCTCACTTGTATCCAAAATAGCCTACTTCTGATTCTTGTCCAAAGCTGGCTTTTTTGGTGGCTTTTTCTCCCTGCTGGCAGAACCCCTCTGATGGGAATTTCAAATTTCCTGCCCTTGCTCTACTCAGTCAGCTTCCTGCTTTCATATGAGTGGATCAACCAACAACATGAATCCTCCCCTGTCCAAGTCAAAGAGGGAAATTAGAGCCCAGTCCTGTCCCACCCCTTACCCTATAGAATATAAAAGCCCAGGCTCTCTAGGAAGGTAGATGGTGCTTCAGCTCTGGACCCCTCCTCTTGTGGAGAGTCTGTCTCTTTGTTGTGTGGAGTGTTGCTTATACTTCAATAGACCTTTGCTGTGTGCTGGGGCTGCAAATTATTTCTCTTCTTGAAATTTTTTTTTTTTTTTTTTTGGTCTTTTTGAGACAGGGTCTCCCTGTAGCCCCAGCTGTCCTGGAACTCACTATGTAGACCAGGCTGGCCTTGAACTCCCTCACAGAGATCCGCCTGCCTCTGCCTCCTGAGTGCTGGGATTAAAGGCGGGTGCCACCACGCCCAGCTCTTCTTGAAATTCTTTACCTGGTGAAGAAAGGGACCCAAGGACAGATCCAGCTGGCTTCATAATAAGAATTGTAACAATAATATATATTAGCAATAATATATATAATAATATATGTATATTGTTAGAGTCCAGGTCTGCAATCGACCCTCCCCCAATGTAGTAAAGCCTCACAATACAGCCCCCCCCAACTCCCGGGAGGCGGGGGCTCTCAAAAACCAGGAATTGAGTCAGTTTTAACATAGTCTGTTTCCCCCAGACAAGTTTAGAAGATAAACAGGATGCTGCCTGAAAAATATTTTCCTGCCTTCTGCATTCTCTACCCCCTACCCCCTATAAACACCTCCAGTCTGCAGCCTGAAAACTGGTGGCTGCCTCACTCCCAGGCTGAGAGCCATCCGGTGTGATCTTCCAAATAAACCCTGTCCTGCTGGAGCTCTTGTCTGTGTCTTGGCGATTTATCTGATTTACCTAACATTTTGGTGCCATGACTCTGACAGCTGCCATTGGAGATCACGTGTAAAGAACTCCTGCCAGACCCAGCCACCGCTACTGGCCCCCCCCACACACACCACTGATTTGGCTTTGAGGTACATTCTGACTCTCTTCTCTCTCTGTTCAGCATGGTTACTGTGTCTGCCTAATCTAACCTGAGGGGTGGTCCTACCCCTCTGTCACTCTCAAACCCTTTCTCTTAGAGTCTCCCAATTCCGGTGACTAGTTCTCCTAAAGGAACACAGACCTTTCACAGCCTGCTAAAAGGTTTTTCGGCTGCCCATTGCGAATGGGGGTCCCAGATACCTCAGCAGCCTACTACCTACACAAGGGGTGCAGGCCTCTTGTCTTGAGGTCATATTAGTGTTCTGTGTAACCTTTGGCTCTGTGGATCAGACTCTCTCTCTCTTCCTTGTTCTACTTACTCTCTCTGGAACTCTGAGAGAAGGCCAAACCCACAAAGGCACGGCTAGACCTGGGACATGTCCAAAGGCTGGTCCTAAGACTGGGTAAAAGGGGGAAGGTAGGCTCTGGAAGTTTCCACTCTCCTCCTTTTCTTCTCACAGCCTCTCACTAGGCCTCAGACTCCCTCCCTCTTTTCCTGCTTCCTGCACCTCCCCTTCACTTTCATTTCCTTGCATTCGAAGCTTTTCTTCTCCACTCTCTTCTTCCTCACTCCGTCTTGTCCCACCCTCCTCTCTCCTTCCCTCCCTCTCCACCCTCCATGCCTCTACTCCATTTTCATTTGGCTTCTTCTCCCCCTATCTTATCACCCTCTGCACTCCACGTTCAGTCTTCTACTCTGCCGCCTGGCTGTGCCACACTCTCACTCCCAGGCTTTCCACTGAGTCGTAAAACCACACTGGTGTGTCAGAAACCTCCTTCCTTCTCTGGTTACGGGATGCCATTTCCAGAGACAGGAACATGCTTCCCTTCCTGTCCAGGACAGGAACTTGCTCTTTTACTTCCCTGGTGATCGCAGGATGCTGCCTCCAGAAATAGGGAACGTGTTTCGGGACTCGTCAGTAAGGAACACCTTCTTTGATGGTCGGTCCTGCACGCTCTCGCCTGGCACAACCTGCAGCCTATGTCTCTGATCCTCTTCCTCCCTCCTGCCCTTCTTTTCCTTGTGTCTTTCACTTTTCTGCCTGGAATCCTAGCTGCCATCTCAGACTCCACTCATGCTAAAAAGGACCCTCATCATCTCCTTCTACCTACTTGCTCAGTTCCTCCTCTATTTTCTCATTGCTGTCCACCTGATCTGCCAATATGGGACCCTCTCAATCTAAACCTGAAGGCCTCACACCTCTTGCTTGCCTTCTCAAGTCCCTAAAGCAATTAGGACTTTCAGACACAATCAGGCCAAAACATTTAAGTTTCTGTGCACCACTGCCTGGCCACAATACAAACTAGATAATGACTCTGTCTGGCCAGATGCAGGAAACCTAGACTTAAACATTTTAAGAGATTTGGATAATTTCTCCCAGCATAGCGGCAAAAGATCTGAGCTCCCCTATGTCCAAGCCTTCTTTGATCTTCGAGCTAACCCTTCCCTCTGTGTTTCTTGCTCCCCACATCAAGTCCTCCTCGTGAAAACTATTCCACATGATCACAACCTATCTACCCCTACCTCAGAGCCCTCCACTCCCCCTCCACACTCCTCTACCTCAGCCTTTTGGTCTCAACATAGCTGACGAACGTCCCCCAATTAGGACCCAACCTCAAACTCTTCCTTCCCCTCAACGTGAGGCACAGCTTGCTCCTTTACCAGCTCAGCCTTCATTATATCTCCCCTCCCATGCCAGTGTTCCCTGTGGGGGGGCCAGGCTGTCCCTCCCAGGGCAGGACCGCTCTCCCACCCCCATGCCTCTCTCCCCATGGAGGAGGCTGGGGGTGGGGTGGACTCTCCCCAGTGTGCCCCAGGAATCATCACGCTGTCAGGCTCAAGGGGTTTTCTCTGTCAAAGGCCACGCGCCCCACCACCCCAAGCCACTCTACCACACATGGCGTCTTCCGCTTTAAGGAAGTGGCAGGGGTAGAGCTGTTAAGGTTTATGTCCCTTTCTCCCTTGGCAACCTGTCCCAGCTCGAGCACAGAATAGGCTCTTTCTCTACTGACCCCACCCATTTCATACAAGAATTCAAATACATCACCAGTAGCTATGAGCTAACCTGACATGACATCTTTATGATTCTCCAGTCCACCCTCACCCCCAATGAGAGACACAGGGTGTGGATGGCAGCTCAGGAGTATGCTAATGAGCTCCACTCTACCACCCAGGCCCATCCTATTGAGATCAAGGCCATTCCCTTACAAGGTCCTGGGTAGAATTACCAATTCTGGGGGATCAGGAAGGACCTTCTCCAAGTAGGGCACCAAGGGATCACATGATCACTTGTCTCCTGATGGGTCTTCAGAGAGCTTTGCCTCCTAAGGTAGTTAACTTTGGAAAGCTTAGGTTGACTGCCCAGCGCCCTACTGAAGCCCTAGCTTAGTTTATGGACAGACTTACTGACGCCCAGTCCAGTATACCAAGTATGATCCAGAATCCAGAGAGGGATGACTTATGCTCAACCACCATTTTATCTTACAATCCGCCCCAGACATTAGAGGGAAAATTAAATGCCTAGACAAGGCCCCGAAACCCCACGGGACATCTGTTAAACCTGGCATTTAAAGTCTTCAATAACCAAGAGGAACAAGAGAGGGCAGACAAACACCCTGTTCAAACGAAAGTACCAGCTGATGGCCACAGTCCTGAGGGCTCCATCAAAGGGGACAGACACCAATGGAGCCCAATGGCTGCCACCAAGACCCTGCCTTCAAATGCAGACTCGCCAGACACTGGGCAAGGCAATGTCCCAACTTGTGGCCACCTCCTAGACCCTGTCCTCAATGTGGGCAATGAGGTCACATGAAGGCTGATTGTCCTTCTGTCAGCACCAAGGTAGGTCACTCACCTCCCAGACCCAGCTTGCTTTACAGGGTTCAGTGAATGACTTCTTGGGCCTGGTGGCTGAAGACTGACAGGGCCCTAGCTCCTCAGCCCACACCTCCTTGATGACCATCACCATGGAGAAGCTCATGGTAAGGGCTATGGTGGCAGGTAAGACTTAATTTTGTTTTGGACATGGACACCTCATGGTCAGTTCTCCCCCCCAACTCCGGTAGTGTTTCCCTCACAGATCTCCATGGTGAGGGGTTGATGGGAAGCCCCATAGCCCCAAAACAACAGGACCCCAGTCCTGCATATTCTGGGAAACTCCCTTAACACACTCTTCTGGTTATGCCCTCATGCCCAGCACCCCTACTTGGCAGAGATCTCACCCCCAAAATAAACTCTTGTATATCCCCATAAGTTAAGGATGCCTGCTCTCCAGTCATTCTCATACCCAGGTTAATCTCAGAAGTGCATGATTTTCTCTCCACAGAAACAGAAGGCAGCAGGACAAAAAGGTCAGCTACCCTGGCAGTTCTGGTGGGTATCAGCTTGGTATCATCTGTAGCCACCACAGGATTCGTGGCAGGGAGTCTGGAGCATACCTTACTCTCAGCCCAGCATCTCTCTCAGGAGATCCAGGACCTTAAGCAGGAGCTCACTATTGGCGGTAGAGGCCACAGCCCCCAGTCAATCCAGATCCTACAACAGCAACTGTCTTCCTTAGCTGAAGTCACTTTCCAGAACAGGCGAGCCCTGGACCTATTTACTGCAGAAAAAGGGGGTACCTGCATTTTCTTGGGTGAAAAATACTGTTACTATGTCAACCAATTGGATAAGGTCAAAGCACAATGTAAAATGCCTTCAGCAGGTGGCCTAGGACCTCTTGGTCAAAACCTTGCATACCAACAGTCACCCCAGTGGGATATTTTTACAGGACTGACACCTTGGCTTCTGTCCCTACTCGGCCCCCTGTTTTCTATTACTCTAGTGGTATCTATTGCCCCCTGCTTCTTCAGGTACCTTCAGGGCCATATCCAGAGACTCACACATATTAACTGTTGCTTTCCTTTCCCCCACGTGTATGAACACCTGAGGATCTTGTCCAGATACACAAAGTGGAGAACCCCACTGCCTGACCACACTCTAGCCCCTGGCCTCTCCCCACACTGACCCTGACCAGCAGGAAGTAGCCAGATGAGAAATGCTGCCCCCTACCCTATAACACAAAAGGCTGGAATGTTAGAGCCCAGGCCTACAGAGGCCCTCCCCCAGTGCAGTAAAGCCTCAGGAGACAGCCCCCCCACCCCAGGGAAGGGCTCTCAAAAACAGGAATTAAGTCAGTTTCAACGTAGTCTGTTTTCCCCAGACAAGTTTAGAAGATAAACAGGATGCTGCCTGAAAAATATTTTCCTGCTTTCGCATTCCCTACCCTTTACCCCCTATAAACACCTCCAGTCTGCAGCCTGAAAACTGGTGGCTGCCTCACTCCCTGGGTGAGAGTCATCCTGTGTGATCTTCCAAATAAACCCTGCTGTGCCAGAGTTCTTTTCTGTGTCTCGGCCATTTACTTGACTTATCTAACATATATAAAGAACTCTCACAACTTAATAATGAAAGGACCAAAAAAAAAAACAAAAAAAAACAAAAAAACCCAACCCAACAAATCAAAAACAGACAAAAGATTTGAACAGGACTTACCCTGCTACACACAATGCAACCTTCTTAGAAAGTGTGGCAATCTTCAAAAAGCTAAATGCAGAGTTGCCAAATAATCAGAACTTCCCCTCAAAGAGAATTGAAAGAGGAAAGGAGATACAGACCAATGTCTATCAAACAATTGGAACAATAAACAAAATCAGGTAAATCATATCTATATATATACATATATATGTATATATATATGTATAATTTGGGGGGCCATAAAAATGACTGAAGGCTAGGCATGGTGGTGAATGTCTGTAATCCCAGTGCTCAGGAAGCTGAGACAGAAAGATTGGAAGTTTGAAGTTAAATTAGAACAGGGAGACCTTGTCTAAAAAAGAAAGGCCAGGAACGAAAGATTAATACATGTTATAAATATAGATGAACTTTGAAAACATTATGCTAAAGAAGCATAAAAAGCCATAAAGTATATTATTTCATTGAAAAGGTCAAGCAGGAAAAACCTATAGGGATAAAAAATAGACTTAGGGGCTGGAGTGATGGCTCAGTGGTTAAGTGCATTGGCTGTTCCTGCAAAGGACCAGGGTTTAATTCCCAGAACCTATAACCACCTATTACTCCAGCTCCAGAGGAGCCAATACTCTTTTCTGGCCTCTACAGGCACCAGGCACACATTTGGTGCACATACATACATGCAGGCAAGATATTCATTCACATAAAATAAAAATAGTCTTTTAGAATAGACTTAAGAATTAGGGTAGGGATAGGGTAGTTAAGGAAAATACGGATTTTAATCATTGTTTTCTCTGTTTCTGTCAACAAGGTTTTAGCTAATAAGTTTATGATTAGAATGATGACACAGCTAGCTAGAACCACTCACTATGTGTCCTGATGAAACGTTCTCAATTCTGTCTCAGGAACTTCTGCAAAGACTTTCAGATGGGCTTTTTAAAAACCTATGTTTCTTTTTTTAATTTGTAATTTGCCTGGTTTTAAAACTTTACTGGTAGCCAATCAATATGAAAGTTTCCTTCTCAAAGTAACCCAATGCAATCCAATGCCTAAAGTATAAAGGATGTGCTACTTCTCTTTGGGGTCCAGATTTTGGTCTTGAGCCTCCTGGATCAGGCTACAGCCTAAATAAAATAACTGTTTCCTGTACACTCCTGGGGTCCTGCCTGATCTTTCCCACAACAAGACCAGCCGAGCTGCCTGGAAGAACCAGAGACAAGCTGAGCTGCCTAGAAGAGGCTTAGGCTAGCCAAGACATCTAAAAGAAGCAGAGGCCAACCGAGTTGCCTGGAAGAATCTGAGACCAGTCCAGGTGCCTGGAAGACGAGCTCATGGAAGGGCACTTTACAGCCTGTGGAGTTGCCTGCAGGTTGTGCACACTTCCTGCTTCCCTAAGTAGTCACCCCTGCTGGAGCGGGCTTTGGTAATGCAGCTGTCTGTGAGTCATTTCTGCTCCTGTAAGTAACCCCTTACCCATACTCCTATAAGAAATACCGATTAAAACTCATTGGTTCATCAAGTGGGACTTTGGTAGTATCCTGACTTTGGTCTGTTGTTGGCTCCCTATCTGGGCTGAGTAGACTGTTGTTCACATCTTCCAAGAATAGTGTCACACGCTGTTTAGGATGCTTTGGACACCATCCTTGCTTTTGCTTACCGTTGTCACCATTTATTCTTATTTCATATTCTTTGTAGAGTTTGTTTATGGCTTTTGCTATTTCCTCCATGTATTCGTGCTGGGGTGGTAACAGCCCGTCCATACTTTTATGACGATTTAAGATCGCATACCCAATTTCTGACCAGGTTTCCTGTAAATGTTTAATAATCTTGAGAGTATCGTATTTTGACAATAGAAAATCCCCTGTAAACTTCTCTTTCTCTTCACTCAGCAACTAGAAAGTGAAGCAGAGGAGGAGAGCACATTACTCACCGAAGTCCACCCAGAGCGCAGTCCCCCGTGACCCCTAATGATCTTGAGCTTATTATTGTTTGCCGCACTTCTTGTAAGAATTTTGGGACTAGAGATAACCAAGCTCAAATTTTCATCTGGTATTTTCTGTCTACAGATAACTTATACTATCCCTAAGCTTTAATTTCAGCATGTGTGAGATGGGAATTATAAAACCATCTTGCAACTGTCGAAAGAAGAAATAAGGAAGCACCATTTTTTTTTCAGTTTTAACTATGTATGCCAAAACTGCCAAATAAAAACTCACTAGAGTTATATATTGTAGATAGAACAGCAAATCTTCATGATCAAGACTGGCACGATCAAGTCATTCCAAAAGAATAGAAAGTGGCTGCTGCGCATGATGGTGCGTATTCAGAATTCCCACACTTGGAAAACAAGAAAATCAGGAGGAGTTCAAGCCTAAACATATACGCACTAGTTTCTTGGAAATTGGAAGAGATTTCATTGGGTCATAATTTGATATTCATTTTTAATTTTTTTAATTAAAAAATTTTTTTTGTTTTTAATTTTTTTTGAGACAGGGTCTCTTTGTAGCCACAGGTATCCTGCATTCACTATGTAGACCAGGCTGGCCTCAAACTCACCGAGATATGACTGCCTCTGCCTCCTAAATTCTGGGATTAAAGGCATGTGCCACCACACCCAATGATACTCACTTTTTAACTAGCTCCATGTCATGTTGTGTATTTTCCTTTGTCAGACCACTATAGCATGATAGTAATTTTGTGTGTATCTGTGTGGTACTGGGGATTGACCCAGTGCCTTGAACATGCTAGGCAAGTACCCTACTACTGAACTATGTCTCTAGACCTCATAATGGTAATTTATTTTCTTTAAAAATTTTTTTAAAAAATTTATGTGTATGAGTGTATTGCCTATATGGATGTAAGTGTACCCATGTCATACAATCCCAGCAGAAGTCAGAAAAGGGCATTGGATCCCCTGGAACTGGAGTTAAGGACAATTAGCTATCATGTGGGTATTGAGATTTGAACCCAGGTCCTGCTCTTAACCACTCAGCCATCTCTCCAGGTAAGAGAATGTGTGAATTGCAAGAGAGCCATAAGCTTCATTAAGGGAAGACATAAAATCATAAATTCCTTAAAGTGGCCAACTGGCCTTAAATTGTCAATCTGGCCTTGCTCAAGCCTTATCAATTGATCACTCCTAGATTGAAGAGGCTGTTTATGACACTGACCTGTCTCTTTTAGTGCCATACATAACTCACCTTCCCTGCCTGAGAACATAATCTTAGGGAGAAGACCTTGGCACCAAGCAAATTCCTGCAGTTGTGTTAGTAAAATTCATGTATAAGCCCAAACATCCCTTGCCTTAGTTACAGACGCCTTATTCCCATGGCAAGGCTTCTGTCCTTTGCTGTGATTTCCAAATAAAGGAACACATTCCCTGCCTGTTGCCGGTCTGGCTCTGACTCTTATTTCTAAACTCTAAACTCCTTCCTTTTTCTGCTCTCCTAAATCTAACACCAATCTTATGAAATTTATTTTCAAAGCTTGAAACATTTTTTGAAAGATGCTAACAATAGGCAAACAAAATGTGATGTATATCACACACACAAATACAGTTCAGTCTTAATAAGGGAGTAAATATTGAACTGTGAATGAGGACATTATGCTGAGGGAAGTAAGCTATTCATAAATGGACAAATAATAGAATAATCAAATTCACAGACACAGAATAACACTGGCCCTGGGACTAGGGAAGACAAAAATGGGAAGTTACTGCTTACTGAGTAAAGTTTCAGTTTGAAAGCTGTATGTCAATGACCATCATGTAGACATCTGAATGGCTAGATTCCATGAAACTGTCCTCAAATGGTTACAACTGCTTTATCCTATGTATATTTCCTCATAGCTTACAGAAAATGTTATTAATTTAAAAAAAACAATTTGCCCTTATACAAAATCCCAGATACAGGAGAAGCAGGAAGGCTAGGTCTCCTGGAAATCAGATGGAGCATGGGAACCGCTCTCACCACACAGCCTGACTTCATTTAACCCACAAATCTCAAATAGAACTGGAAATATTTAAACATTTTAAAAGGACCTCTAGTAGTCGGTCTTGCTTGTTTGTGTATGTGTGTCTATGTGGTGTGTGTGTGCATGTTTCATAAAACTCTATAAGGCATTTTTAAAAGATGAGATTTGACTCAGTTGCAGGGGAGGAGTGTCAAGTTTGCCATTAGTTTGCCACTGAATGGACAGATTTCATTAAACTGTGTCCTCAAACATATTTTAAAGGCCCTCTAGTAGTCAGTGTTGCTGGTTTGTTTGCGTGTGTGTGTGTGTGTGTGTGTGTGTGTGTGTGTGATTACCAAACTGTTTTGAGAAAGTCTTACCCTTTGTAAGTTCTTGAGGTCAGCAAGAGCTACAGTGGCCACTTTTGCCTTGTTAAAGGTTAAACTGTCTTTTCCACTGGAAGAAAAAAAAGAGCAAGAAAGAGGTTTCAGAACAGGGTATTACACAAAGAAAATCATAAACCCACACATGAAACAAAAATATTTCACTTCAGTGATTGTCCAGCAGGCCTTCCAGGCCCAGCCCCTTTCCTCGGGGGCATTCTTATTTAAATTTACAATTATAAATATAAACTCAGATTCTGACTTACCAAGTTACAGGACTAGAAGCCTTGAGAGGAGAGTGAGCTCTTGGGGCTGGAGAGATGGCTCAGTGGTTAAAAGCACTGGTTGCTCTTGCAGAGGATCTGGGTAAAATTCTCAGCAGCTAATAACTGTCTATAACTCTAGTTCTAGGGGATCTGACACCCTCTTCTGACCTCTGTGGGCATAGCATGACACAGGTACGCCTACACACATGCAGGTAATATACTCATACACATAAAAATAATAATAAAAATATTTTAAAGAGTGAGCTCTTGCCAGGTATGGTGGCACACACCTGTAATTCCAACTTTTGAGAGGCAGAGATAGGTAGATCCCTATGAGTTCAAGGCCAATCTAGTCTATCAAGTTCCAGGGCTGCCGGAGTTACATAGTGCGACTCTATCTCAAAAAAAAGAGTAAGTACAGCCTTTCTATATACCAATAACAAGCAACTGGAGAAAGAATATAGGGAAATGCTCTCATTCACAATAGCTACAAAAAAAAGGAATAAACCTGACCAAAGGCATCAAAGATCTCTACAATGAAATTTTTAAATCTTTAACTTTTTAAAAATTTTATGTGTATGAGTGTATTGCCTGCATGTATGTGAGTACGAGAGACTGAAGAAGAAACCAGGAAATGGAAGGGCCACCCATGCTCATGGATTGGAAGAATTAATATTGTGAAAATGACCATCCTACCAAAAGCAATATATAGATTCAATGCAATCCCATTCAAAATCCCCATGACATAATTCACAGAATTAGAAAAAAATTCTTAAATTCATATAGAAGCACAAAAGAACCCAGATAGCCAAAGCAACCATGAACACATAGAGCAACGCTGGGGAGATTACTATACCAGAGCTCAAAGTAAACTACAGAGCTATAGTCATAAAAGCAGTATGGTATTGGCACAAAAATAGACACATAGATCAATGGAACATCACTGAAGAGCCAAACCTGAGTACATGCAATTTCAGCCACCTGATATTTGACAAAGGTGCCAAGAACACACAATGGAGGAAAGACAGCAACTTCAACAAATGGTGCTGGCAAAATTGGATCTCCACCTGCAGAATGAAACTAGATCCTTATCTTTCACCTTGCACAAAAGTCAACTCCAAATGCATCAAAGATTTCAATGTGAAACTGAAACTCTGAAACTATTAGAAGAAAATATTGGCAGTAACTTACAAGACGTAGGTGTAGAAAAGGATTTTCTAAATTGGAGAGAAGTTGATCAGGAATTAAGGTCAGCAATAACAAATCATTAAACTAAAAAAGCTTCTGCACAACGAAAGAATTAGAAAAGTGAAGAGAAAACCCACAGAGTGGGAAAAAATCTTCACCACTGACACATCTGACAGAGGTTTAGCATCCAGAATATATAAAGAACTTAAAAACCAAATGTGAAACCAAATGACCCAATTAGAAGATGGGCAAAAGATCTAAACAGAGTTCTCAAATGAAGAAATAAGGATGGATAAGAAACGTCTTAAAAAGTGTTCAACATCGTTAGTAATTAAGTTTCACCTTAACCTTACCCCAATCAGACTGGCTAGGATGAAGAGAAAAAATGAGACCAAATGCTAGTGAGGAGAAAGGGGAACGCTCATTCACTGCTGGCGGGATTGCAAACTCATGCAACCCCTATGGAAGACATTGTGGAGAACTCTTAAAAAACTAAAAATGAACCTATCATATGAACCGGTTATACCACTCCTTGGCATATACTCAAAGGACTCATCCTATTTTACAGACATTTGTACAACCATGTTTGTTGCTGCTCTTTTCACAATAGCTAAGAGATAGAAGCAACCCAAGTGCCCCTCAACTGATGAGTGGTTAACAAAAATGTGGTATATTTATACAATAGAGTTCTATTCAGCAGTAAAGAAAGATGAAATAATGAAATTTGCAGGTAAATGGATGGATCTAAAACTGTTCTACTAAGTGAAGTAACACAGACTCAGAAAAACAAAAGGCGTATGTTCTCCCATTTGTGGATCCAGCACCAAATCCTTTTAAATTCTGTCCATTTAATAAGATGTTGCTATATAGCAGTCTCTTCCACATGAAATAAGCACCGTCATCAGGACTTCAGCTGTGCCTGCTTGCTAACCATCATCACAAGTGGGCTTGTTGATGATTGTGTTCCTTCATTAAAAGAAGGGCAAGCAGGCTTATTGCTCACTCCTCACCGGAGTGTATCCATCCACTGTTCCTAGCCAACTGTATGTAATTTGGCCCTAATCACACATGGTCTTCTGGATTTGGGGAGTGCTAAAGTATATAATCTGGGGAAGGCTAGGAAGAGAAGGCATGACCCATGCTGAGTAAAGGCTTTCCAGTGTGCATACCCTCAGGTCACTCATACACCTCAGCAACCCCTCAGTTATCTTGGTAAGTAAGCTCAGTAAATTCATTGTTTTTCCAGGAAAACTTTAATTAATTAAACATTGGTTTGACACTAGAACTTTTAAAGGGGATAAGCATTGCTTAGTATTCCTAGGAAAAGAATTCTCACGACAGATGGAAAATTTATTTGTTGATATTATGTCTCATAATTATTTTTTTTTAAAAAAAGGAGAATGTAAAAGATGTTAAAAGGATATGGGAATGAAGATAGTTTCCAAAATAGAAAAAATGAGAAATCCTAAGCAAGTGAAGAAGGTCTATGTAGGTTTGTTATGATAAAAGGATGAGACAAAAATAATACACATAATCTTAAAATTTCTGAGGTCATAGTTTAGTCAGCTAGTTTAAGGAACAAAATATATGTCTAGTCAAGGTTTATCTGAGAATGTTAGGTTTTTGCCAAAGCTTTATCTACATGGCACATGGTAATTAAAAGTACCAGACTGGTGGAACTAACCTTCTTGGATGTTTAACAGCCATACTTTGAGACCTATACTAATCTGGTCAGAGGGACTTAAAGGACAGTTTTTTGCTACTTGCCCTCTAAGGTCGAATAAGTTCCAGGGGACTATGGAACATCTCTCAAAATGTCCTGTAACTGTGGTGAGTCACCTGCCCTCTTGATCAGGGAGGCCCATGGAGATCCCATGAGATGGACTTGAACCAGTGTCCAATCTACAAAGAGGAGGGTCAACTCAGAGAAACATTTCCTCCATGCTTCCAAGTGAAGCCAGCCATGGTCGAGTAGGACCTTTGATTTATCTTCACATAGATGGAACTGGTGTAAGAAAGCAGTCAGGGGCTCCTCCGAAGCCCATGTGACCCCTGAGGAACAGATCCTCAAACGAACTTGAGTAAAAGTAAATTGGTTTATTTGGGCCAACTATATGGTCTTAAAAACCCCAAAGGAAAGTATAATCAAAGACTAAAGTCATCAGTATATTTCTTTAAGAGTTCAAGGGATTACATGTCCCAGACATTAGGCTTAAGTCCATATAAAATGTTATTGAGACAATTATTTGTCGCTGATGATTTTGTTTCTAAGCAGAAAGTGCTGCCTAGATGTAAGACTTCAAATCCTGGTCTGCAATACTGTAGTGCCTGCCTGTAGATAAGGGAGACAACCAGCTATTGTTCTAAAATGATGGATAAATTTGTTTTCTCCCCCTATCTAGAAGCCTTTGAGAGGGAACTGACAGATTCTACCTACTCCAGGAGCTATCAAAGTGCCTGAAAACAAATCCTGAGTCTATCACTCTCAAGTAAAAAAGAAAATGAGTTCCCTGTCTAGAACTTGTAATGCTAACTACTCTTGCCTTTACTTCTCCTTCACATCTCCTATTCACCAGTCAAGGGCTTTCTTTTCTCCCTACAGATAAGAGTTAAGCAATCTGGGGGTCTTTTAGATAGACCCACTGAAGGGGTACCCCAATTGCCTCACCCTGCAACCCTTTTCAGCATGGAAGAAGCCAGAGCTGTCTGCGTCCTGATTCCCTATTGGCAATTTGGGTAACCTCTTCAGAGGATGGTGTGATAAGAACAGGAGGTAGGAATTGGTTGGGCAGTTATAGTAGAAAGACCCCAGAGAAAAGTAGCCAGTTTCTTGGCTAAAAGTCAAAATGTCCTTGGGCCTCTTAGCAACATACTCTGTTCCAAAAGCCAAAAATGTCAAAAGTATTTTTGAGCTTGTATCCAATCCTTAAAAGATTTTAGGGTTACCCCTTCAGAGGGGGGAATGTTAGAGTAGACTAAAGCCCCGTAAAAATAAATAAATCAAAGAAGAAAAAAAGAAAAAAGTGATAGGAGATATGGGAGGAGTTGGAGGGGAGGGAGTGGGCGTGGATTTGATCAAAACACCTTATATGCATGTGTAAAATTCTCGATATTTTTTTTAAGTTGACAAAAAAAAGTAAGCTCTCATCTTGAGAACCCAAAACTAGGGTGTTTATAGGAATTCCTGTTGCATACAATTGCAAAGACAACATGTAAATAGAAAAGAGGCCTAAAGAGGTCTATTGTGTAACTGAGACATCATTAGGTCAGGAGTCCCAACTTCTTACAAAGTTTCCTTTAATTTCTGGGAAGTATCACAAAGAAAAAGCCATTTTAATTTATTTTTATTTTCTATTTTAAAGTTTTTTTAATGTATGAGTATATTGTCTGCATGCATGTAAGTGCGTCCATGTCGTACAATGCCCATGGAGGTCAGAAGAGGGCGTTGGAGTCCCCTGGAACCGGAGTTACAGATAGTTGTTAGTCATCTGGGAATCAAACCTGGGTCCTCTGCAAGAGAAGCCAGTGCTCTTAACCGTTGAACCACCTCTCAGCCCCTTGTTTAAATTTTTTAAACAAAAAAATTTTTAAAGCTTAGGAACCATTTTATTCAAGTATGTAAGGAAAACAATAGGGCAAGCAAGATGAAAATCCTGGCAGCTGCTGGGAGGATGAAAATGGGGAGGAGAGGGGAAGGGAGGGGAGGGGAGGGGAGGGGGAAAAGGGAGGGGTGGGGACCACAGGGGAAGAGAGGTCACTACTTTGGAGCTAGACATGGAAGTTGGCAAGCAGCTGTAGAAATGGGGTAGGGAGGGGTCTTCAAAATAACAAGGTGGTAGTCCAGAGTGTAGAGAAAAGCATGCTTGATCTTTTGGCTGGTATCCGAAAAGACAAAGGAGGAAAAGTAAAAGTTACAGTTTTTGAATTAGAACTCAGAAAAGCAGGCACGCTTAATAGTTGCTTAGCAATGAAGATCTTCAAGGGACTACTTAGACTTTTTTTTTAACAGAAAAATTCATTTTTAGCACAACTGACACTAAGATGCACATGCATTTCTAACCTCTATATATCTGATTCTTACTAGTCACAGTCAGTTACTTTCTGAGAACCTTGGCATCTGTGCATGTAAAGTCATCAGGTAGATTTCAATGGTAACGTTTTTCATATCTACTAATTATTAAGGAGCAAAATTACATGCTTTGAAGAATTATTATTTTTAAAATTTTTTTTTCAAATT